CCTTTTCTAATGCTAGTATATCTTTTTATTTTTGAGATGGGGAGACCACATCTGTACGCAGTATTCAAGATGTGGGAGTACCATGGATTTATATAAGGGCAATAAAATATTCTCCATCTTATTCTCTATCCCTTTTTAATGATTCCTAACATCCTGTTTTGCTTTTTTGACCGTCGCTGCACACTGCTTGGACCTCTTCAGAGAACTATCCACGATGACTCCAAGATCTCTTTCCTGATTAGTTGTAGCTAAATTAGCCCCCATCACTAGCCTACTTCTGTCACTAGCCTTAACACTAATGCTTTAGTGGTCTCAGAGGAATGAGCGTCGGAAGTTTCAGTGAGGTTAGCCACTGACAGAGGATTTCACAATGTAAACATTTATTAAAAGTGCTCCCCTGCTTTGTTAGTAAGCTCATGAGAGACCAAGGACTGAAAGGGTTTTAAGAACAAACTTCCTTCCCCCCAGCCCCATCTTATTCTCCCCGGGTTATGCTCTCAAAGGAATGAGGGATGCTGGTAGGATGCTGTTTGGAGCTTGCTCTGCTACTGTCCCGTTGTATCTGATATGTGGAACTGAAAGGACTTTGTGCTCCACAAGTGTCAGTCCTTTTACAGGCAGTAACACTTCTAAATAAAGAAAAAGAGAAGTTGAATAACATCTTTTGAATCTGATGTCCTGGAGGTTGTTTTTCTTGCAGAGTGTAAGAGGTTTGTTTGGTCAGTTTGTGGCATGAAAGGAAGTGATGACCTTGTGTTTCAAGCTCTGCCTTGATAATGTCTTGAACTCTTCCAGCTTGTCAGCTGTGCATTCCAGGACCCCAGTGAGCGTTAGAATGTGTCTAGCATCAAGGGGGGTGGGGGGGGGGAGAGAAAAATAGCCTGTCCTGAGACAAGGACTTGATCTATATCTTAAAATAGAGCTAAAGAACAAAAAGTCCTATTTCCATCAAAGCTGGCCTGACCAGGAGGTAACAGCAGCACACTGCTTTGCTCACTGGGGTTTAGAAACTTGGAATGCTCCCAGCTGAGAAGAGCTTAACAGTTGGCACAAGTGAGATACTTATGTTGGCAGCTGATTCAAGAACTTTATGCTGCCTGTATCAACCCAAGGCCCTCTTCCCATTTTGGCTTGAGGTACAGTACATTGCCGTGCTGACTGTGACAATGCCATCTTTTCATTGTAACTATTTAATTTACATGATTATTTTCCCCTCATGTTCAGCATATAATGTAGGTAGTTTCCCT